TACAAATGGTTAGAAAGCTTGTATTGATGCCAAGGAAGGTGATTCTGAGTGTTTGGTAGGACTAGAAAGGAATTGTTAATCATGAACTACTTGAATCTGGTCCAACAATGAATTTGACTTTCTACTGTCAGCAACTAATGTGATTGCAGCAGGCGATGAAAAAAAACGGCCAGAATTAATCAGTCGAATAGGCGTTACCTTCTATCATGACAACGCCACACCACACATACTTTTAGTGATTTAGCAAAAATTGAGAGAGATTTGCTGGAACTTGATTCAGAGTTTTGCCCGGAAACCTCAGAAGTTTTGTAGTGACGAAATTATGGCTCTATCAGTAATGTGGCAAAAGGTCATTGAACAAAATGGAATATATATCGTTGATTAATGTTTAAAATTTATGTGAATAAAGTTGCTTTGCAAAACATAATAAAAACCGAAATTACTTTTTTGTCCAACCCAATAAGTATCGTCGGAATCTTCTCAATTTGTTAAATTGAATTGGTTAAACATTTATAGGTTGGGCTAGATAAATAAAAACACGTAATTGTGGGAAAAAAGCCTCTTAGCATACAAAAACCTAATTTATTGAAAAATAAATGATCGGTAATGCGTAGTTGATCTGGCCATGACACTGAGTTAATTTAGTGATATAAATTAATGTAAGTGATATGAGCCACTGTTTGCGCCGGAACCTTAAATAGTTACCGATCATCCTTGAAGACTACACTGTCCACGAGGATGCAGTGGGGTGCAATCGTGAACGCGTGATTATAAATTCTATGAGCAAGATTGAGGGAAAACGAGACAATCATACAAAAAAACCAGGGCAAGCTTAAGACGTGTCTCAACTAGTGAAGCACAGAAATTAGTGAACTAATATACATCAGTCTTTAAGAGAGTCAGAAGTATAATGATATTATACCTCGATAAGTTGCATAGCATCGGCGCTATTCGGCTTACCCCCGTCGTCTCCCTCCACTAGTGGTTAACCGTGGACTACCAAACAGTGCCAAACTAATTAATGCATATTGTTTCCTTCTCCCTGTCTTTTTAGTTGCGTGCAGATAAAACAAAAATTAGTTACTCGACTCTATCTACGTACATTATGTATGTGCATATTCGCATATTACCGTCTGGACAGACGCAGCTGTCTTATGTATACATATACGTCAGAATCGACCTAACATATAGGTATATTAGATAACTCACTTACTGACCAAGTACCAAGCCTGTCTCTTTAATTTGACTAGTGTGGTACATGCTAAAACCTCCTTAAAAAATAAATTTTGTGAAGTGAAAATTCATAGTTCAACAGTTAATGAACATTTTAATTAGTAATGAAAAAAAATGTTTTTCGTTCTGTGTTTAGCATACCCATTACATAATTTTTAATTTTTCGCCTTATTCTGAATTTTTGTTGTACCTTTTTACTTTCATTGAAAATAACTGATTAAATACGATTTGCAGGAGTTTTCAGAATCTTCATTTGCTGTTATAAACATAAAGATTTTCAACACAATTAATATTTAAGTGTATGTACTGTAATTTGGTAAATAGTTTAGTCTTCAGCTTTACAGGGTACACAGTAAATAAAGTTAATACAATAAATAAAGAATAGTAGGAGAGGCGTTGGTGCAGTGGTAAGCGTGCTTGTTACTAATACAATGCAGTTCTAGGGGTCGTGGGTTCGATTCCCGGTAATTGCAGATTTTTTCAAAAACTGTTTTCGTCGGGAAAAGCTCGTATGTAATCCCGACTGTTTCGGGGTGGATTTTTCCGTGGAATTTTCCTTCAGAGTAATTCCAGGGTTTTTTCCTTGCCCCACAGATCTTCGACCCTGGGTGAATGTGAAGCAGTCTTAAGGCTATAGGTAGGGATTAGCGGATCCGATGCCAGGTGTCGGGCAGGGATCGCCGGCCTTACCAGCGAGGAGTGGTCTCTGAATCATGGGGCTTCTCCGGGGATGATAAATAGCCTGGATCCGATGCTTTGGCAGAGAGCGCCGGCTTAATCGGCGAGGAGTGGACATTCTGGAATATGGAGTCCTCTCCGGGTAAAAGCCACACAGTAGCAAGTGGAACCTATGCACCATTGGTGCAGAGAGTGTCAGCTTAAGGAGGTTCGGTAGTGATAATTTTTTATGATGAAAATTTTTGAAATTTCGATATGTCGTTTGGGATAATAGTATCAAATTACAGCTAAATTTTTGAAGGGTTTAACCACACCGTTTTCAAGATATATTGACCTGAAAAAACAATATTTTAACATGTAGGCTTATGGATAAATCACTTAAATTTCACATAAAAAAAAAACGGCTAAATGAACTTGCTTTTTTTTTTTAAATGAAAGAATGTTGTCAAAATAATATTTTGTCAAAGTTTGAGAGAGCCCATCATGACATGATATGAATACGCTTGTTAAAATTTAGAGTAAAAATAGAGTAACTTAACTATGGTGTCCGTCTGTGTGTTTATGTACAAGATGCATCATGACAATAAAGCACGTGACTGTATTGTGAAGTTACTTTTCATCTTAGCACTCTCAGACCAGTCGGACGATTCTTTGGAGGGCCTACCCTTTAAATCATTTCCAGCCTCGAGATTTTCTTCAAGTAGTAGGAGTAGTAGAACGTGCCTTCACTCGAAGTTTTTTTTGGTTTCGCAATAACGTGAAAGCGCTATTACTTTTGATTTTTTATTTGATTAGTTTAGAAAATTAGATTTTTTTTTTTGTTTTAACATGTTCTATACTACAATTTCTAAAAGACCATAAAATTTTAAACAAAAAATATGTTTGACTTACAATATTAAAAAATCAGGAACGTGGATGGATTTTACTCTAAGTTTGTTAATAAAAATTAAAGATTTTTATAATTTGATAAAAAAAACATCCATAAATAATGCAGATCACAAATAAAATATTACAAAAAAAGAAAAAGAAAAATCTTTGTGCCAATATACTGGCAGTGACTTTTTTAAGTCTCTTTGCTATAATATTTAAGTGTTGGTTTTAAAAATAATAAACTATGCATTATTGTAAAAATTTTTTTTACAAGTCTCTGTCTTCACTCGTACAGAATTCTACGTATGATTTTTTAATATTGAATTCACATATTACCCCTTGATAACTACATTTTTCTTATCATCTCTTTTTTACTTTTCATTAAATTTGAGTAATGGATGACAGAAAGTCTTTGTTATGACACAAAAAATACTATTTCTGAAAAATTTTTCTATTACTTAATGTGGGATACATGATGAGAGCTATAACTCTAGTGCTAGAGGGCTACAAAAAATTAGTTATGAGTTTTGTAATAAGTTAGTAGCTAGGGTAATTCTGACTCAACATTGTATTAGGTAAGAGGATATTGACCAGATTTGTAGTGAGTCTGCAGTAAGTGTGAGGGTTGTGGAGAAATAGTTAAAGAACTACGCAGGATGTGAAAAGTTCTACTGCAGTCTCTATGCAATATTGGAAAATATATAAAAGAATCAGTACTCACGTGCTCAACATTAAAACCAAGTACCTCATGATTATTTTTGCTAACATAAAAAAATTCATTTCCAAAAAAAGTGAAGTATCACTTCTTATATTTCTACATAAACGTGAAAATCAATTTTTGTATTGATTGTAGCTTTTGCTGGCGTTAACCTATAGTATTTTTCAAATGAGAAACAATAACTGGAACAACAATACAGGAATGATCCTTTATCTAAGAAATCATGGTATTTAAACTTAACTTAATACATTCTAATCAAACATTTTATGATAATTAATCATCCCTGACAAGAATAGAAAAATAAATAATTTAATTTAATCATTAAGTTTTTCTTACTTATCTATAACTTATTTCATTAAAAAACAATGATCTCAGAGTTTTATGAATAACCAAACTTCTTAACTTGATCTTTTTTAGCAATTAATGATTGTAAAACCTGGCATACTCGGAACAAAGACTTTCAGCTCGACTTATTCAGACACCTTAGCCAAATACTTTGAAGTCGAGAGCCCGTTTGTTATTCAAAAAATTTAGCCACTAAGATACTTGTATAGTTTTTATAATTGTATGGATTTTTATCATGGCATTGCTAAAACTTCGTTTTTATTATTCTACTTTTTATCTAGAAAAGTTTTCGTGCTGAAAGCATACGGCTCAACGAGAGTTTGAAAGAAATTGAAGACGTAAATTTGTTTGAATTAAAAAGAACATTTTTTCCTATTGCTTGCGTTACAGAAAATAAGTAATGATAACAATAAATTTACGTAAAGATTAAGAGTTTGTAAACAGAGTTGAGCAACTGGATATTTTTCTATTTACTTAAAGTATGATAAGGGAAATTCATAAACAGACTTAGTATGCAAATAGAGAAGCAGGAATGAGTAAATCTCAAAAACGTACCAACTCTTATCACTTTAGAAAATTTATTTATTCAATTAATTTTGAGGAAATAAGTAAAAGAAAGAACAATAGATACTTTAAGAAGTTGGAAAAAGTAAAATTCTGTGAATCAGTGAATAGTATTAAAAATTATACTTAATTTGATTTTTGACCAAGAAACAACTTGTATCAATGATGATAATGATGACGATGGTAATGATGATGTTGATGATGATGCTAACGACGATGATGATTACGATGGCGACGACGGAGACGAAATTATAAAATTATTATCAGCTTTTATTATTACCATTATTGATTTTAACGACTCTACACTATTAATATCAATCATTAGTTGACTCTGTAATGCGAAATACATGTATGCGCAAATGTGTCTTTTAATTAAAACGTTTTTATATCTTTAATTTATTTGAAGTGATGTGAAGGTGGTAACATTTCTCTTATTGTACTGATGCTGGTGCGCTCGATTTCCTTATGATTGTGGAAATGAAGTTAGTTTACGATTATTCTACTTTATGAAATACTTTTAAAAATATAGTCCATCTGATCTTGGGTATTTGGTATTGATTTAAATTACAATAAATATTTTTATTACTTACAGAGCATTGCAGATTCCTCCGGAAGCATGGCTACGCATGTCCTTAAATCATGGTAGTGTTACATGGATTACAGTACTTTCTAGCGGAAAAGTTATTTTGCGATCATTTGGTGAAACAAGTCATATGTTACCTGAGTGGATAACATCAAGATAGTTATAAAAAAATTAAGTGGAACTTACTCATGAAAACTTTTTTTAAATATTTGTATGCAAGTCTTACTCATAGCAACTCAAAATGAAACCCTTACTTTTCAACTACAATTGTTCGTTAAATATTTAAACACCACTACACCAAATTAAGTCACATTATTGCTTAAGGTACTGATTTGTTAATAAAAATGTTTTCATACAATACAAAAACTATGAGTGTGAAACCAAATATGCATATGTATTACACTTATTATTCACTGTGAATTTTAGTTTTGTATCATCAAATTATTTGACAATGGCAAAAAACAGTTCTCTTGATTTTCAGTTAAACTTTTAACGACATTATAGGCGTTAAAAATGCTTAGCAGAATTATTAGAAAAATTGATGCGATAAATAATATTTATTATATCATCTAAAAGGAAGTGCAGTTTCTACCCTCATATGAAAAAATTTGTGAAAATATGTCAAATTCTAATTGACTGTGTACCTTTTCAGGTCTCATAAAAAATATGCTTATTCTCTCTTTTGCTTTTAGACGCACTTGTATGTCTATACCATATATCTAACTCATACAGCCACACTGACCTGGAGCTGTGTTGCTAATATGCAAACAAAAAAAACGAATAAGAAGTTTGTCAAGACAGCATGAATATCGCTTGAGTGATTACTTTATTTTAACTGTATGTTGTAAAACTTGCTCCTTTTTTTGGTAGTTTTCTATTTTTTTGAGAATGAAACGTAAAATCCTCACTTTACAATAACAATTATATGAACTCACTTTATAATTAACTTGTTTTTGCTTTTAGTTTTCTCATCTGAAGAATCTTATGCATAGTGTATGAAGTAACTATTAATATAAGGTCTCTACCATATTTAAATCTTTAATATTTTCATGCAATGATCTTTTATGATGAGATAATGTTTTAGAACATTTCAAAGCCGAACTTTTCCTACAAAATGAGTATGAGCCATCTTTCTACTCAAAATCAAACGTAAGCCTAATTAAACTCCGCCTCAAAAAATATAAACTTGTCTTGCCTAATGACAAAATAAATTAAAGGTTTCAGTTCACTGTTACTATGATACTTAACCTACCAATCAACTTTCAAGTTTTTTAATTGCATCTGGAAACTTGTGTAAGAAAAAGTTTAATCGATTAGTTAAATTTAACAAAAACTTCTACATTCTGATACCAGTAAAGAATAATTCATTAACGTTTCTAATTTCAAATTCATAAAATCGTTCATGAGGATATCATTACAACATGATATAAAAGCTTAGACTGTTAGACATAAACATAATATGTGACAATGCGACGTTGCCAAATACGCAATACTTACTTGGTTATGCGGTAAATTATACTTTTTAAAATAATGGAGTTATGTAGTATTTGCACCATTGCTTCAATGTTAAAAGAGTTATTTTTTGACGAGGATATTTCAATAACGACGTGGTTAATTGATCTCAAATTTTTTACACATATTTCTCGATACTAATATTAGTTTTGCTGACAATTTTGTTCCTTTTATAAACTGATTTAGGAAAAAATTACCTTAACGAAATTAATATTTTTTCATCAAATACTTGATATTTGTTGAATAAACGTACTCACCTAAGTGGAAATAGTTTTATTGGAGTAATTCGTAACAACTACTTAAACTCTAAGATAAAAATAGAAAAGAATACTAACTGTACAGTCTAGATTTAAGACAACTAATAAAACCTATTATTTACATTACCTATCATTTGTCACAAGTAATTGTTGAAACTTATTGATACTTATAAGTAAATATTAATTTTGTTTTTGTGAGACCGATTGTTATAACAAGTACCTGCAAAAGTTACTATTTTTTACTATTTTTACTTTATGTGATATATAATATATTATAATAAGAAATTGAAGACGTAAATTTGTTTGAATTAAAAAGAACATTTTTTCCTATTGCTTGCGTTACAGAAAATAAGTAATGATAACAATAAATTT